TAGGCCTGTGTAAACCAGAGATGAAAGGCTTCATATCCCTATTCATGCCTATGTGTTTATTACATCTGTGTGTTATTTTTTGACATCCAAATATTTCTGAATTTTCTGTCTACTGCCCTAAAACTTCATAAAGTTTATCACTTTTAGGAGTACAATTTATATGACAGAATTATTGTTCTCTCTCTTTTTTTTTTAATCTTATAACAAATTTCCAGTTTCTAATGAAAACCGTAAGTAATTAAGAAAGCAAGTATAGAATTACAGTGCTAAAAAGAGTTCAGAATGCGTTTTCTTCTAGTGACCTCTATGTTTCTGAGGGAGCGTGTGTAAGTTCAAAAGACCAAGTTTTCCTTCAAAAGTGCAATCAATATCCCCAGTTACATACTGATATATGCAAGTAAAGCATACTGAGAAAATGCATTTTTTAAATGGGGAAAGCTATGTTGACAATTTCAATGCATTTCCTCTCTGATTTCCATGTCAGTTTAGAATTATGGGCCCTCATGGGACTTAGTGCAGCTTTCTTAATGTCTGGTTAAATAAGGAGGTCATAAATAAGGAATGCTTCTCCTAGATCAGTCAATATTCAGCACAGATAGGGTATTTGCTCAATAACTGACTTTCTTTGTTCTTTTTTATTATCTGCACATTTCACATGGAACTGACTGTTGGATATCCCACACGATCCAGACAGGAACTGAATGTTTCATGTCCAGCCTCAATACCATGGTTTGGTGCTGTGTGTCATGCTTGCTCGTGGCAAAGTTATTCTTTAAACTCATCATCAAGAACCTTATCATTCTGGAGACATGAGAGAATCTCAGAATTCTTCTTCAATCTCAGAATTTCTTGCCGAAGTTTCAATGCTTTGAACATACCAACTGTGATGGAGTTGCAGGCACCACTTTCTTTGCCATGGAGATTTTAAAACCGTGGTTTAAAATACTTAGAATTTCCCGAAAGGCTGCGACTCTCATAGGTGGAATTCATGTAACTGAATGTAGATGTCAACACGTAAGGTAGTCATCTCACAATCTTTTTGGAGCTGAAAGTTGGAAAATGTGTATTTAAAGAGTATTTTATCCATCTGAACATCTGAAATAGGTTGGATGACTCACACTCTGGAAATGCCTGTTTTTCTCCACTGAATAAAAACATGTATTTTCAGTTGTCTAGATAGATCTGCAAATAAAGAATAATATTGCACAGACTACTCTTTTGCAATGAGTAACTTAATCAATTCAACTAATGCAAAGGCTTTGTTTGAACGGAAAATATTTCTGAAAGCCTAAGTAAATGTATGTTTATTAATAGAGCAGCAAAGAACTGAATCTAACAGGAATTTTCTGTTAGACAGATGTTGAATGGTAAGGGGAAGGTAGTGTAATATCTAATTTTTTTTTAAAGGAAGATCTGGCAAATGATTCAGTGTGCCTATGGAATATTTGTGCTTAAAGTCTTTCTAAGAAAATTATCAGACTTACAAAAAAGTCTAGAATTTGGCTGTCAGGTAACAGATGCTGAGTGAAGTGTATAAAAACTTAGAAGAATTTGAGTCTTAAGATAAAGAAGCAATAGATTGGTTGAGGTACATTTAGTTAGCAACCAGAAAATTGAACTTCAATCTTAAGTTCTTGATTCTGTTGTGGTCTTCGCTGTCTCTGTGTCCTTACGATCCTGCACAAGGTTTGCCTTTTTTTTTTTTTTTTGTTGTTGTTATTCTTAAACTGAGAGCAATATTCACGTTTACTGGCTGAGTTTTGTAGGGCATAATTTATCAAGGTTTATAAAAACATGAAGGCTTGCATGAAAAGTGCTACAGAAGGAAAATACAATTACCATTTAGACTGACTAGCTGTGACAGCATCTGGTATTGCAATTACTTTTAAATTTTGCAAACTACAACAAATAAAATTTGCAAAAATATATTTTCCTTGGTCAGCTTGTTGAAAATGCAGTGAATTATTTTACATTTGCATTGTGTGGGACTAGCCTTTTGAGCGAGAGTAATAGACAGACTTTATTTGGATTCCCGTGAAAACACACTGATATGTGCAGTGTTTTAATCTGCTTCATTTGGGCTCCAAGGTCTAAAAATTTTCTGACTTCTGCTTTTTGTTGACACAGAGTCCACTGTCTCTTTCATTGAGTCTCACTGCATACAGTGTCAAAAATTAAATTATAATGTTTGCATTAAATGCCATGGCATTTTTCTTACTGGTAAATGCATGGCCAAAAATGTGACATATGCTCCATTAGTGCTTCTGTGACAGTCTTGGAAGCCAAAACACATAAACAGCACAGTCTTGCCAAGCAAATATCTACATGATGATCGTGTATTGTGGTTGCAGACTTTCTTTCCACTGCATGTTTAGCAGTTCAGCTTAAAAAACTCTGGTAGATGTCTGCAGTTTTCTAGTACGTGTACCATCCTGGCCTTTCAGAATGAGTGTGTTTCAGAGTTCTTCATCCTCAAATTTTATGGATACTACTGGTCTTGAGAACATCTTAGTTCTATCTGCTTCTATTTTTGTGTAAGACCTAAAGTGATAATTTGCTTATCACATTTAATTGTGGGAGGCGGAGCAGCTGCAAAAGTGTTATCAGTCCTATTCTTATTTTATGTTAGGAAAAGTTAGTCACAGAGATAACTAATTCTCTTGTTGAGCTTCAGACTATGGCTCTATATAGATTGTGACACTGATGATACAAAGCCATCTGGTTTGCAGACGATGCAAAATTTGTGCTTCTTTTTGGGTCTCAAAAGGACGATTGAGATAGGAAGACAGCTCAGCGTGACAGCTGAGGAAGAGAGAAAATACTGAATGCCAAGTGTGCTGTCTGGACTGTCCTGCCAGGGGTGACAACTGTGACACCAGCTTCATGAATTCCTTTGAGAGGGTAATACCAGCAGTAGACCATGGCACAGTGTGTGAAAGAAATGGGTGTTCATAATTTAAATCTGTATCTTATTCCTTCTTTCTTTGCTCAATTTGGTTTCCAGTTACATTTTTTTCTCCTTTTTGCTAGAGTAATCTTCTGTTTTCTTTAATAAGTTGAGTTAGTATAAATTCAGTTGTCTCTGGCAAATCTAGGGTGCCTCAGCTTCCATGCAAATACATAATCTAAAGAAAGTGATGATAAAGACAAATACTTGAAACCAGAGGAAACTACAGTAATCTCTGGATATACTATTTGTTTCCCAGCTTGGGGTCTGGTGCTTACTGTAGATGTTAACTAATAGCCTTTTAAAGAAAAGATCTGCAGTTCTTAGTTACTCTGTATAAGTTCAGTCATGCTTTACTACCTCTTTTCAGCTGTTTCATAATAGCAGGCTTTCAAGTATTTAATCTTTGATATCAGAAGTTCATGCAGACTATTATTTCAGACCTTCGGTCTGGAAGCAGTATAAGCTTTAGGATTTGCGGGATGCTCTCAGCTGCTTCCAGGTATTTGTTTTTTTCTTTTTTTTCAAAAATCACTTGGCCAGAAACACTAAACAGCCAGAAAACATGGTTACAGCGAGAATGCTTGCATGCACAGATCTGTAGGCTTGAACCAATTAAATATATTCCAAGTATAGACAGGAACTGGTTTCCCTCAACTGTGTCAAAGATTGGATGAGTTTCTTACATTTCCACTGGTTAGGTTCAGCTGCCTGAGAGGACAGCAGATGCTGCTTGTTCTGCCCCAAATTAAGGAGAAAAACAGCAACATATTTAAATAATTGAGCTGAGTACATTTGATACTGAAATAATTGGAAGGTAATAGCATGGAATGCTGCTGTAACATATTGACAAAAAATATGTGTGTGTATGTGTGCATATATGTGTGTGTATATATATTATAGATGTATATATAATGTATGTGTATATGTGTGTGTTTATATATATTTTTATGTGTGTATGCATATATCTACATGTTATTTCAGGATAGAATGCTAAACTTAAATTCTGTGCTGAGAATATGAGAAGCTGATATGATTACCTGAGATAAGCTGAATTATTTGATTTCTTCAGGATCTTGGTGCCTCTTTAACATGGGAATGATTCTTTATGGAAAGATGGAAAGCATTTTAACAGTGGCTTAATGAACACTGCAGTTACAAGGAAAAAATTTTGCTTTGGTTGGCTGTATCTCTATGGACTAATTACAGCCAAATCATTTTAGCTGGCTGAATCAAGAGCCTTGCATTATACGTTAACTGTACCCTTTGGAAATTGGCTGCTTTTTTGATTAAAGTATCCTTTATTATACTTCTTTGAAGTCTTTAAGAAGATTCAGCTGTATATATTTTCAAGCTTTTTGTCTATCAGAGATTTTCCATGAAATAATGCTGTGAAGATTAGAGGTGAATGTAACATATGGAGAAACAGGGTTGTTTTGAGTGGAACATGGATCCAAAAAACTAGAATGAGAAATCCTGAAAAGCTTAGCAACTCGTAAATTTGGGAATGAAAATTGTGTACTCAGATTATAAACGTGCATTTAGGATGGAATATAACATGTTTTCTTATTACTGATGCCACTTCTACAGGACTCTCTGAAATGGAAGTGCCTCTGAAACATGTGGAACAGTGTTTCCCTTGCTTTCCTTGCTTGGTCTTTCATTTCTGGCAAAATCTCACATGAGTCATTTTTTCCTTCCCCTTCTTCTCTCTAGTTTTTCTCAAAGCCTATAGTCTGAAGAACATGAAATCTGCCTGAGCTTCTATTGCTGCTGCAATAGCTGCTGCAAAAAGGGGCTTCATCTTTCTTCTAATTCCCGGTGGCGTATATCCCACCCTGTGCCACCTTGTTGTCACAGCCTTGCCTGGCTGCAGAGTAGTATGTGCCAGAGCAAGGAAGAGAGAGCAGCTTGGAGATAAGTGAGTAGCATGGGTAGGAAAACCTTTTCCTGCAGAAATGAGCACGAGCTTCCAGTGACAGTGAAATTTCAGCTTCACGTTCTTATACCCCCACTCATTTTTTCTCTTTCATATGTATACAGGAAGGATGAACAAAAGAAAGGAGAGGGAAGGAGAGAGGAGAAAGAGAAGGAATGACAGAACGAGTTCCCTTCTATGAAAGGTAAATCATTCACATTACAGCCAAGATTGAGATTAGGAAATAGAATTATTCAGGGGAAGCACTCAGACCTCAGCTAAAATGACTGGGGGCCAAAAATAATATGTGCAGTGAAGCTCAGCAATTTGCTGATATGAGAAGATGGGAGTCATTTGCACATAGTGATGTTTTTGGAGCAGGAGGGTAATTTGAGGTTCCTTCCCATGCAGCTGAATTATAGGATCTCTGGAGATGGTAGGAGAAGGATAAGGGAAAAGCCAATGTCCTTGGTCCTGCTCTCGAGAAAGGGAGTGAGCATCTACTAATGATGCCTCTTGGAAGCTAACTGAATTTTCTGTCAAAAAAGGGTCATTGTTTTAATGAATTTGAGTATTCAGACGAAAACTTTCGTTGTGATATATTACCTCTGCACTAATAAAACAAAAATGCTTATGTATCCTAAAACAGTCTTTATTTTAGCAGGCAAGTCTGCAACCCGTCATAAAAGGTTTTCAGATGAGAAACCTTGATTTTCGTGTCCTACTTGCCACAAATATAACTGAAATACCTTGCTATGGAGTGAGCTCTACTGGAGCTACTAGCTCTAACACACTGATTTCTATGTGTGGAGAGATAGGACTCTACAATTGGTGCTCAGGGCTTTTGGCTGGGGATAAGGGATGCCATGATTCAAGTTCTGGCTCAATAACTATTCGTTTATTTGAGCAGCCTGAATCTGCATTTGGGTTACAGCAAAGTGGACCCCACTTTATACTGCTGTGCAGTGCTGAGAATGTCCCTGCCGGGTAAAATCTCTGGTTTGCATCAGGTAGAACAAAGGTCTGGGTATGACTATTGCCTACGGCCCAGGTGATGGTAAGTGGGTCCTCCTGAGATCACAGAAGGTTTGATGGGATGAGATTTGCTGTTTTCTGTCAAGCTCTCTAACCATCTGGCATCAAAGCACTGACAACTTCAGTTATTTTTATGGAACAGCAGAAGCTTTCCATTTTGAAAACCTCATTTTTTTGTGTGTGTAAAGTCTGTCTCCAATATAAAGGTTAAAATAAAGCACTGTAGAGTACATTTACCTGACTCTTTCAGCCTCAGAAAAACATCAGATAATCTCCTATTTGAGAGTTTGGTTTCTCTCAAGATGTTCAAATTTTCTGCATGTGTTCTATAATGTATTTCTCTTCCAATAAACCCTTTTTTGACCCTTTTGAAAAAGATTAGGGAAGAACATAGTTAATATACTTAAGTGATTTATTGCAGTCTGCTTTCATTTAAGTATTAGCTTATATAAAATTAATCTATATCAGAAGTACTCTTTGACATCATTACTAAACAAATTACAGCAGTAATCATAGCCTTTGTAAAGTCAGGAAGCATTTTAGCTTTCAGGGTTATTTGATATGGCTCAAATAAGGACACTGTTAGAGTCACATTTTTATAGTTATTGACACTAAAGTTATCATCTGCTTTCCAAGTTTTATGAAAGTGTGTGTTTTTTTAATTTAAGAGATTCTAGAAACCCAGAGATAATATTCTGTTCTTTTGATTGAATAGAAAATATTTAAAGAAATTGCTCTTTTTATCTCTCTAAAAATCATCATTAATTGATACATAATAGTCAGTTGTTTATAAAAAGAGAGAACCAAAGTTTATCAATCCCTAGCAGGACTCCAGCATACATAGCCAAAAACTAATTTTTTTTAAAAAAATCATCCAGGGTGGATAGCTAGAGATCTGTCACTTTAGATTCCCTGAAAAAAACCCTAGCTTCACAGGGAAAATGCAAAGTAGGAAAGAACTGACATTTTTCCTAGAGAGAGCTTGGGTTTTATCAAAGACATATTTTCTCCCTCAGCAGTGTAATTATCAGGGACTGCCTGCCTTCCCCAGTTAATTTGCAAGCAGATGGAAGGAGTTCATTTTTATGAATTTCATGTTTCTGTAGTAGTAGATTATATATAAATTATTCAGAATTGCTTTGAGAGGGAATGGCCTGTAGCCTGGATTGTGCATTTCAGATTTAAACTTGAGTAGATGATGAGATTCCCTCAAAGCCTTCTCCTGGCTGAACAAGAGCAGCTCTCTCAGCCTCTCCCTGTCGGGCAAGTGCTCTTGAGCATCTTGGTGACCCTCTGCTAAGCTCCAATTTGTCAATGTCTAGCCTTTTTTTTGGGGAGTGTGGAGTGGAGGTGGTCCCAAGAAGGATGTAGTGTTCTAGATAGGAGTGTTGGAAGTGGAATAATCGCTTCCCTCAATTCCTGTCTGTCCTCCAGAGCTTATTGCTCGTGACAACCAGGGCTCTCATCCAGCTTGTGTCTGCCAAGCTCCTTTCCAATAGATCCGCTCCATGATAAAGAGGTTGAAGTGGATAGGTTCCAGGATACACGCCAGCAGTACTTTGCTTGTTACTGACCTCCAAGTAGAGTAGGAGCTATCAACTACCACCCTCTGAGCACATTCAATTAGCCATTTTTTTCACTTATCTACTAGTACAACTCTCCAGATTGTAATGTCCTAACTTGGATCCAAGAATATCATGGCAGACAGTGCTCCTGTCATCCATAAAAGTCAACAACTTTATTTCTATTTTGAAAAACTCATGAATCACTATTAATAAATTTCATTATCAATGTGCTTGTTCAACAGGAGTCCTCTGTTTCAGATTTTCTGCACTCAAAGTGGAGCTTGTAGTAATGTGGTCTTAGGGACTGATCAAAATATGTTTTCGGTACGTTCTGGTTATAGCCATTCTAAATATGAAATTTAATTTGCAGTCATATTAGGCCAGACCTTTTGTCTTTGAAGTCACTGAGGTTTATGACAGTGGCATCCAGGATACCAACCTTTACCGAAGACCCCCAGAGGAGAGCAAAAAACCCTCTCTCGCTCAACCCTGCATAGAGAGTAAAGTGTGTGGAGCCTCTGTGCTGATAGCAACACGTGCAGAACGTTTTCTTGGTGTTACAACACTGCCCTCAGGTGTGCGCACAGACCAAGCTGGAGTCCTGCCTTTCCTTAACTATCTCCTCATACAGTCGCAGGGGTCCTTTGACATCTCTTTTGCTCTTGAGAAGAAAAACGCTACTGTGGTGTTGTTCCAAATGTAGCAGCATTTCTTAGAGCCCTCTTGACTTCAATGGAAGCTGATAGACATCTGATAGGTCTACTCTCTTCTGCCTCATGCATGTGGCAAGTTGAAACATTCAGGTACAATATAATGAAGAGGTTGGTTAGGAAGAAAGAAAGAAGAACTGAACTCATGACGTTGAGTGAAGTTTTTCAGTTGGAGAGCGCATAAAAGCTAATTCTTTGTGCTGATTCCTTGAGCAAACTTTGCTTAGACCCCTAGAGAATATGCAGTTGGAAGCAGTCAGAAGGTCATCCTGTTACAAAGCTAAGAAGGAGCTCGGTCAACGCTCACAGAGACAAATCTCAGAATGATTCTTGGAAAGAGATAAAAGCCTCTAGGGAGAAATAGGGGACAGAGAGCATCTGGACTCTGGCATAAGACTCAAGTTTCTGTCTGTGTGTGTTTGTGTGTGAGAGAGATTTTAAGGATAGAAAAAGATACCTAAGAGTTGGGTTCTGGTAACACTTTTTGAGATTCCTAGGAGAGAAGGAGATTCAAGATACTCTACAGCACAGCTGGCATTTGTTTTTCTGAGTGCATGCTGTTCGTAAGGCTTATTTTCCTAAATGATCTGTAAAAAAGGATGTTGTTCCTAGTTAATCAGTTATTTGACTCATTGCTGAGTTGCTGTGGATAACTCTGGACCCCTATTTCAGCTGATAAATATTTGAAATACTAATTATTTTGAGAGGAAACATACTTGTGACCTATCATTTCTCTGCACAAAAACAACTTTTTTAGGGTTCCAAAAGAAATGAAGTGAAAAAATCAAATTGGTCTTTGTAGATACTTGGAGTTTCTTTAAAAGAAGCAATTTATTTGTCCAACAGATTTGCAGCTTTGCATATTTGCAGAGACTGGAACCCAAAGTGAGCTAATGCTCACGTAAGAAATTTGTTTGCATAAGCAAAACTTTAACTATGTGAAATAATGATTTGTTTTCTAGCCTAAATTTTCAAGATTTTGATTTTTCAATAATGACCAAATTTGACAGATTGCAATATTTTCCTTAATATAGACCAATCATCTGGATATTTTTAAACAGTAAACATTTCATACAGCAAATATGTATGTACGTCTATAGGTACAAATAATAGCAAGTTAACTGTATCACAGTTGTTCATGAAAGTATTTATCATGTAGACTTGTTAAAAAATAATAATAATATGTAGAAAGGCAAAAAATGTGAATGAAAATATTTTTTACTCTTTAGACTTTTTGGTGAAAGAAAATAGATTTTTGTGTAGAAAATTCTTGCTGAAATGAAAATGATTGATCATTAATTTAAGCATTCTCAATTTTGCATAGCTGGCTTGTGCCCTTTTCAGCAGAAATAGCAGGAATAGAAGGGAAGAATAAATGAACTTTATATCTGAAGTACTCAACTCCTGTATTACTTAATTAGGTTTTGTTTCATACGACAAATCTCTTTGTGTGCGTATTCATGAAAAGAGCAGTTAAGGGTTTTCTAAATGTCCATTTCAAACTTGATTATTAATTGCAATTTACAGGGAAGAAAACCTGTCTGACAGTTTTGTATTAAAATTGCATGTTGAGCTGAGAAGTCACTTGTCTGTGAGGCATGAATTGAAGGAGAAAGAAATAGCAGTTCTTAACTTCTCTTCGAACTTAGAAATAGGCAAAACTATAAAAGAAATAAAGCTGTTCTTTGAACTTCAAAAATCCTACTTTAATAGATTTTTGCTGGAGGCAAAAATGTTTAGAGCGTATAGCATGAAGGGAAACATCTGCTTGTGGATGGCAGCTGAGGGCTGAGCATGTACAACAGTAGAACAACATCTGGAAGTGACATAGTGCAGACTCCGTCTGTGGAAAATATTTGACAGTATCTGTGCAAGGCCCATATCATTTGAAAAATATATTCAGTGGTATGACTGCTAGGAAACAAGTGTTGCTTTTCTTGTGTTCACAGGCACATGCATTTGTTTATAAGCAAACTTCGAAATCTTTTGACATCAGGTTTTCCAATAGTTTCTCTATTGCAAATTCTCAGTTGCTGAGGACAAATACAATTTACAAAGCCTTAAATTTACAAATTTACAATTTACAAATTTACAATTTACAAAGTCTTAAAAAAAAAGAAAAGGACTTGTGTTTTTTTTCGTTTTATTTTAGTGTGTTTGTACCTTTAGGAAGTTATTCGACTTATTATGTCTTATTCAGCTTTTCACAGGCCCCTTGAGTTCCTATCAAGATGAAATGAGAGGGATTTGACCCAGCGTCTCCACCCAAGCATCGAGCACTCAAGCTGCAGCAAGCGTTCCCTGCTCAAGCCTAGCACATAGCAGGTATGGACCTTCTGCTGTCAATGCTGTTGCCCTTTGCAAATATTCCAAAGGTGCTAAGGGTCTAGTAGAGACTTGAATTCCCTTGAAAGCTTTAAATTTCTCAATGTGACTCACAAGAAAATTACTAGTTTTTATTTCCCTTTGACTCTAGCAGGGCACAGAGTGTTGACCAAATACAACACAATGAAGGCTCTGAGTAGTGTCAGGAATGAGTACTTCTGGTATATTAAGAAAACATCAGATCTGTAAATTTCCATCCGGGAATCGGAGTAGAATGCTGACTTTTCTCACCTTCTCACTTCTGCCCATTTTACTTCCTTTCTGAAGTAATTCAGATTTTGTTTAGAAAAAGAGGACTCAACTATCAGTATTCACTGATCTTCTTTAACTCCATTTTTGCAGTCATTCAGCCACAACCAGCTCAGGTGTCATGCAGCCAGATAAAGTGCTTAAATTATGGATTGGTTTTTTTGTCACAGGTTGAAATATAAAATAAATATTCTTATTTCAGGAAAATTTATTTGCATGAGAGTATGCTTGCCCAGACCAAAATTGCCCAGGTTCCAGGTGCACCTTCGATGCTGAAAAGCATATGCTGAAATACTTACAATCGATATAATTCGATATTAAGATTTCCAGGCCCTTTCAACAGTTTGACGGTTGTTTTTGGTAATAAGTACTAGCATATTGAAGTGACCTCTGCTTCACTGATCGAAGAACAGTTATCTATCCTTCCTATTTGTCCCATAGCATGGTATCCTGAAATACAGAGACACAAGAAGAATTATAGTCCAGCTGCCTGAGCCAAACTTCAGTGTTCTGGCTTAGACCTGTCAGAGCATTGGATAAGTCTAATAAAATTATAGAAGGTGTTGTGTTAGATTCACTCTCAGCAAAGTGAAATTCAAAATGAAGATGTGAGATGAGGTGTATCCTCCTCCACTTTCTTCAGTGATGCAGGCACTGCACACAACTTCTGTTAGATGTAGATGCCTGTGAACTGGGTAAGAGAAATGTAAACCTGGTCTTCTGGCATGCTCATGCCTAGGAGATCTCAAGAGGCAGCAGGGAAGCATAACAGCAAATTGACCACAGGTGAGAAACACTATATTATTTTGATATTGTACCTAAAATGTTAAATATCACTATGGCTCCTTTCCAGGTTAGAATATGTACCTGAGCACTTTGACTCCAAACAGCTGAAACAACAATACCTCCTTTTCTACCTTTAGAACAAGAGAAGAATGTTATTTTTCTTCCTTCTGAAGAACAGCTATAACAGCCAGTTTATTAAGGCACCTCTGAATGGGATGTGAATGCTATTCCTGTCATCCTTTGGCTTCAGTAATTGTCTGATTCAGACCCAAAAAATTATAAATTGGGATTCTTTCTAACACATAGTCAAAAGTCTCGATCTAACTGAAAACAGTGGCTCTTTGGAGGCAAGAGATAGTCTCTTTATCAATAACTAAATGCTAAAGATGGAGTTAATGAAGTATTAGAACATCAGATGTGACTGGGCATGATCAGTGAGGAAAGTTGTACAGTGTATCTAAAGGGAACGAAGGAAATAGAAGGCATTTGGAATTGCTGTCTCTTTTGTCTTCTGCTAAAGCCACAACGATGCTCAGCATGAGGGCATGGAAGAATTGTCATAGAGTATGGCACAGGCCAGGTTGCTGTGCGCACAGCAGTTAAACATGTGGGCGATCGTTCAGCTTAACTTGTGCAGCTTTTTGTGACATTGCAACTTCTTGACTTGTCCTCAAAATAAAGAAGGAGAATGTTGCATTGTTCTGTCTTATTATATAATTCTCCCCTAAATAAGATCTAAATAATTTCTGTGTAAGATTGCCAAGGAAGTGGAGGAAGCAACGTTTTGTGGGCTCTCTGCAGTGAAGTTTTCTGTAGGAATTGGGGAACTTCCGTTGACTTCAAGATCCTGGTCTGATTTTAACAAACTTGCGTATTCAAAACTTCAAGCCTGAAACCACCACCATGATGGAGCTTTGATCTAGCCCCTTCTAACTATGTGAACAAATGATAAAAATGAATATCCATCCTTTCCATGTTTACCCTCTTTGAGACCCAGCAAGTATAAGGCTGTGGAATGAGACACTTTTTGTCTTGTCAAAGAAAGCTTATGAATCCCTGTTCTAAAACATTTACTATAACCAATTCTGCCCAAATACTATGCTTTTAAACAGTAGTCAGATGTGAATCAATACCTCTCTTTCTCATGAGCTTCTCTTTTTCTGTTGTCTCTATGCCCATCAGAATAGACACAAAGAAAGGTGCCTGATTCCTGTAGCATCAGTTTAGCTATGTTCTATTTATCCAAGAGACAAACTGAACAAAAGGTCACCGTGCCCCAGATCCCAAGTTCCAGAGAAGTTGCTACAAAGGATTGTTAGACTGAAGATGGAACCATTTCACTTAAATTAACAATCTCATTGCTTTAACATGTTTTGAGTCAATGCAACATGTATAATGCAGGCAGAATGTAAATTTGAAATTCATAAACCTATTTGAGTAACTTATTTAAAATATTTTCTCTCCAGATGGTCACTGGGGTTCATTAATATGGCATATATGAGCAAAAAACGTATAGTTTATGGATCAGAATTTTTATAAGCCAGAGATTTTAATCTCAGTGGATTTAATTTATTCCTGACTGCTTTTTTTTCATGTCAGAAGTGGCACTTTTTACTGGTAGACTGGAGACTGCAGCTTTTAAAAAGTCTCTAGCCAGTAAATATGAAAATGTTATCAGAAATGTAGGAGACTGTCACAGAATCACAGAATCACAGAACGGTTAAGGTTGGCAGGGACCTCCGGAGATCATCTAGTCCAACCTCCCTGCTTAAGCAGGGACACCCAGAGCATGTGGCACAGGGTGGCATCCAGGCGGGTTTTGAAGACCTCCAGAGAAGGAGACTCCACAACCTCCCTGGGCAGCCTGTTCCAGGCCTCTGTCACCCTCACAGTGAAGAAGTTCCTCCTCACGTGGAGGTGGAACTGCCTGTGTTGCAGTTGGCACCCATTATCCCTTGTCCTGTCACTGGCCACCACTGAGAAGAGCTTGGCCCCTTCCTCCCTACATTCCTCCTTCATGAACTTATGCATGTTAATCAGATCCCCTCTCAGCCTTCTCTTCTCCAAGCTGAACAGGCCCAACTCACTCAGTCTCTCCTCATATGAGAGATCCAGTCCCTAAATCATCTTTCTCGCTCTCTGCTGGATCCTCTCTAGAAGCTGCTGGTCCCTCTTATACTGGGGAGCCCAGAACTGCACACAGTGCTCTAGCTGCAGCCTCACCAGAGCTGAGTAGAGTCATTAGTGGTACTATCATTAAGTTAATTATACTAGCTTTTGACTTTTTTTTTGTTTAAAGGTAGCATTTTTTCATATACTATCCTATCAAATAGATGTTGTTATACTAATTGGAAGCATGTTCTGGAGATTCTGGGAGAGTCGTGACTTGACTTCAGCAAGGCTTTTGACACCATCTCCCATAACATCCTCTTGGGCAAGCTCAGGAAGTGTGGGTTAGATGGCTGGACAGTGAGGTGGACTGAGAACTGGCTGGATGGCAGAGCTCAGAGGGTGGTGATAAATGGGCCCCAGCCTAGTTGGAGGCCTGTGGCCAGCAATGTTCCCCAGGGGCCAGTACTGGGCCCAGTGCTGTTCCATTTGTTCATCAATGACTGGGATGAGTGGACAGGGTGCACCCTGAGCAGGTTTGCAGGTGAGACCGAGGTGAGCGGAGTAGCTGATACAGCAGAAGGCTGTGCTGCCATGAGAGGGACCTGGACAGGCTGGAGAGTTGAACAGAGAGAAACCTCATGAAGTTCAACAAAGACAAGTGCAGAGTCCTGCACCTAGAGAGGAATAACCTTGAGACACCAGTGTAGATTAGAGGTGGAGCTGCTGGAAAGCAGCTGCATGGAGAGGGATTTGGGAGTGCTGGTTGACAACAAATTAACCATGAGGCAGCAGTGCCCTCGTGGCCAAGAAGGCCAATGGGATCCTGGCTGCATCAGGAGCAGTGTTGCCAGCAGGGCGAGGGAGGGGATCCTGCCCCTCTCCTCAGCTCTGGTGAGGCTGCACCTGGAGCACTGTGTGCAGTTCTGGACTCCTGAGTTCAAGATGGATGTGGAGCTTCTCGAGAGGGTCCAGTGGGCAGCAACAAAGATGATTAAGGGACTGGAGCATCTGTCTTATGAGGAAAGACTAAGCAAGCGGGGTCTGCTTAGCCTAGAGAAGACAAGATTGAGAGGAGATCTGATCAATATATATAAATATCTGAGAGGAGATTGTAAAGAAGATGGGGCCAAACTGATCTTGGTGGTGGCCAGCAATAGCACCAGGGGTAGTGGATACAAATTAAGTTCCATCTCCATATAAGGAAGAATTTTCCTGTGAGGGTGACAGAGCCCTGGAACAGGCTGCCCAGGGAGGTTGTGGAGTCTCCTTTTCTGGAGGTCTTCAAAACCTGCCATCCTGTACCACATGCTCCAGGTGTCCGTACTTGCGCAGGGGGATTGGACTACATGATCTCTAGAGGTCCCTTCCAACCTCCACCATTCTGTGTGATTCTGTGTGATTCTTTGTTTCCTATTTAGCTGAATGTTTAAAAAATGCTAATAACCCAGAATACTTTTTAATGCCTGCTAGAATATTCTTTCATGATCTACTGTTGGATCACAAACCACTAGATTTGAAAAACTATATCAATACGTCCATGGTCATGGGCACACAACAGAATTTTTGAGGATCAGAAAATTTTTGTATAAATCCATTCTAGAGGTACAAACACTTAACTTTCTCTATATAAGTTTAGATTTTGTGCAAAGATTTGATTTTTGTAGCCACCAGATGCAGAGTTTTCTGCAAAGAGTGTTATCTATAATATTTTCTTGGCCTGAATTATATTTTTATTTGCTACTTCGTGAGTGCAGACGATGTCATCTCTTTTCCTGCAAATGACAACATGTATTTCCATTTCTGTTAGTGTAGCTGTCTTTAGGGACAACATTAGCACTTTATTTTTGAAATAATTCCATCGTCTTTGCTGCTGCACTGTGGAACTTGTTCATTCTTTAATGTCTCTGACTTCAGTTTTATTTAAATATCATATAACTAGAAGCAGCATCTATATTCATAAATACTGAAATATTATGAGTCATCATGGAGACTTAAAAGATTGTTTCCTTCTGAGTCTTTAGTCTAGTTTTCAGTCTTTCCTGCCTGGCAGCTGGCTGAAAAGATTTCTTCCGCTCTTTCTGTTTTTTTTTTTCTTTTTTTATTTTAATGAAAAAGAGGAAGGGAGATTGAAGTCCACTTTTTCATCTAATTCAATCACAGTTTAAAGAAGCTATATTTTTGCTGACATGAAATCAAAAATAGTGCTGTTCTTTGCAATCTGCAACTCTTTCTTTCTGCTGGCAGATCAGATCTTCAAGTCTATGGCCGTATCCTCTACAATGGTAGCTGCTTTTTGCACATATAAGTACATTGATGTATTAAAATTCCAAGTAATAAAGAATCTGTTACATAACTAAGAAATTGGCTTCAGTGCTTAGCTACCCTTACCCAAAATATGCTTTTAATGTGATAGTTTAGCTTCAGCTTGCAGTGAAGTGTTAATCTGCTTCTCCAGCAGAAACAAAGATGTTTCCTACATACATCTTTTTAATTAAAGCAAAATGAAGACTTAATTTTGAAACCCACTATATTGCTGAAGGGATGTTGGTGAGCATTGGACTATGGTCTGCTGTTACAGGGCTGCTTGTGAGCCAGGAGACAGATGCCCGTGTTAGTTTTGGCAGGGATAGGTGTGTTCAACTGTGACAGCTAATGCAGTTATGAGCACTGGGTTCACGGTATGTGTCACTTATTGCCAATTTAACTATTTCACAGAAATCTCTTGCTGCGATATGTATTTGAGTAAAGAAAGCCAATGATGAGAGTTCAAGTATCTAACTAAGAAAAAAAAGGAAATCTTTAGTCCTGAAAATAACAGGTACAGAATTATATATTTATTTTAGCTCTAAACTCTTGTGTGACCTGATTTTTGGATAATACTTCCTTCTCAAATACGTCTTTTGAAATATACTGACATTCATGAACATAAGGAGGAAGGAGAAGCTGGATATTGGCTTCGTCATTCAGGAGTTATCTCTGTTGGAGCAGAGATTGCATCCAGCTGTGCGGAAATCAGTCCCTGACTTTTATGTTCTGACAGCATTTCGGACCCACTGATTTCTTCTCTGCCTTCTCTCCGTGCTATTCCAGCTAATGCAAAGAGACAAGAGAAACTTCCCAGACAACCTGACTTATGGTAGTGAAGTGCCCGTAGTTTCAAAATGAAAACCAGACACCCTTGGGCAAGGGAGAGGGAAAAGCTGTGGTTACCACTGTGGAGAGGATGACCAAGAACATGTATCGGTAGTGGTGATCTTAATATAATTAGCATCTGCAAGGACTGACACGTATCTGTTCTG